GGGGGGGGTTGGTGAAAAGAATGGGGTAATGCATTGGTCATTCTACTACATATGTGCTGTTGTGTGGTCCGTGACTGTGTAACGCGCTCAATTCCAATTCCCGTCCGAACTGTGATTCTTCTGCTTTCCCTTCTCGGTTCCTTCATGAACATCACTCAGTTTGTGCAGGACCACCCAAGATGTACAAACAGATGGGAAGAAAAAAAATTTCTCGCAAATCGTCATACCAAGGGGGGATTCGGTCCCACACTGAGTATCTCTGTGTATATATATAAATGTCTGCATGTACCTGTATGCGTTCGCGTGCTTATTTGCAAGACAGAGGCATTTGCGTCGAGTACAAATCTCCCATTAAGGATGCCGCGACCATCTGTAAATCTGAAAATAGACTGTGATAGACTTAATGTAATTAAGCCCAGCCCTCAAAATGTGGACAATGCGAACGAAATACACACCGCCGTCAATCTTCACATCTTTCCCCCTCCATACACAATCATCTCAATAAGTCTTTCCATCTGATGTGAAGATGTCGCGGAAACAGTGTGATACACGGAGACAGAACAATGAGGAAATTGATAGGGGATAAATATTGCAGAGCATNGCAGAGCATTGTTGAATAGCGGAAAGACAAACAGAACAATTGAACCATGCATGTAAGTTTATGCTGCAAAAGTACAACTTTCCCGAGGTCCAGTTAATGCATTCCCCTTGAAAACGTTTCGGTTACTATTAAACAAACTTGTTTTTCATTGTTAGTCATTGGAACATAGAGACACTTTTTATAATAGGGATGGATATTTCAGATTTTATAAATGAAATTTTGTGCATTTTATTTTCCTAAACTCTTGTTGCGTTACTAGTCTCTTTACAATGCTAAATTCAATTCCTCCTATACAATTCGTGTCATCCATCATTTTTGTTTTTATTTTGCAGTTCGTCATTGAGAAACGTGTTGAGAAATTTATCAAACCGTCTGCAATAACGGAGCCAAGCCGCAGCACCGCAAACACCATCAATAGTGTGAATAATAGCCAACGAATAAGCTCACCGTTGAACTCGACTTTCACCGAAGTTTTATCCACTAACAATGTCTCCAGTACAATGGATTTATCCAAAGATTATAATCCGCAATCATCCCATTTAGAAAGTTCCATGAACATGCAATCACCAACACCATCCATGAACGTGCATAATCGACTTCCATTGGTAACTCGATGGACTGATTCGATTCCCGGTATGAATTCCTTTACGGAGTTGATGAATATGTTCAATGCGACAATAACCACCACCACCGCCGCGACCACCACCACCACCACCAACACAGGTGTACTGGATCAAAGAAAACCATCTGATTGGCGTTTGGGATCGGACTCTCTCAATCTCGCTACACCGGACACATCGAAGACAGCGTTCAGCATCACTTGTCCTATTTGTCATCACAATTGTCCGAGTGCTACCATGGTAGGTGGACAAAGTTTGGAAGACTTGGCCAAACATCTTGCCCTAGTTCACCTACTCCCATTCCCAGCGATTCTCAACTGTTTGTCTGTGATTGCCCTCAGCGCTACCTCATCTGGTCTTCCTCCATCTCATCCAACCAGTCCACGCTCACGAACGGACTGCTTATCCCCAATCATTCATAGTTTCCGAACTCCTATGGCTCATTCCAGTAACACGGGATTAAAAAACGATTCGGATAGTTCTGATTGGAATAGTCGTGGTAAAACTATCAACAACAATGCGGCCGTCAGTGACACATCGACTGATTCGGGGCATGCATCAAACAGTGGATTTCGAAACTTGAAACGCGATTATCGAAATACTGGTGAGTTAACGATATTTGAAGCGTTTCGGATGAGACGTTAATTATTGTTCGGTTTTGTTTGGTATTACGCGTCAAAAGAAGTCAGGCAACGAGAGTAAGGACGCTTACTGAAAAATTTGATGCCAAATTCAAATTTACAAAACCTTTTTTATTGCTTGCTCCGTTTTCGTATAATTTACTAGTTCCTTCTTCCCGCCTATCGTAACTAATGCTAGCAAAAAAAGATTGATGCATGAAATCGAAAGGAGAAGTGGCGTCTGTTTTTGGTCAGTGGTTATGATGATTCGTTGAATTGACCGTAGTACCTGGATGCAACCCAAACTACTGGTATACATGTATGCTCGTAAAGTGAAGGTGATCTATCAGGTTGACCAGTTGGTTTGACATCCCTTTCCACTCCCGCCCCTCCTCCCCCGTCGACCCAATCCAAGTTGCGATACTACCCGTCCAAAACGTTGACAGAATCCTTTTTCAATGTAAATGTCCGTGCCGCTGGTAGAAAATTGTTTTCTTACATTCTGTCAAGAAACCGCTAATGCGCATTTGTGCATGCATGCACGTGCATGCTGCTCGGTTGTGCCATAATATATCCGCTCCCAACTCTTGAACAATTTCGGAATATGTTCGGGGCAAAACTAATCATAATAGAAGTAAAAACAACATTTCTAACTTGTCGGGGGTCCCTGTGTTTTGCCAACTCATGTTTTACTCTCTTCGAAAGCAACAATCCACATCATCATCGTCAGCTTGTACTGGAATGGTCCATCAAGCAGTCAGTCAAGTCAGCCCGGATGACCGCCGCCCATCCATCCGTCGGAAATTTGGATAGCCAATCACTCAGGTATCCTTGATGGCAATTTGAACAAGTAGCAAATCAAATAGTCAATCAGTTAGTCAGTTAGGTTCGTCAGCTAGCAAACAAGTCAGTCGACCGGTCGGTTGGTTAGTCGTGGGGGCAAACGTTCACTTTCTTGGCGTGTTACACGTTACTGCTGGATTCATTCTGGGTCGGTTGGTGGAAAACAAATGGCGATCAGCGTCGTTCGCGTTGAGAATTGCTGAGCAACATGATAGCGCACAAATGGATAGGTTTGAAAGCTAACAGACTTGTCTTCGAAGACATACCCCGGTGTGGTCAGTACGTGTATGGAAGAATGGACTTAATGGAGGAGAGGGGCTCAGTTTATAAATGATGCTTGTATGCATAGTGCTGGACTATAGAATGACCTGAGGGTACTTGACCAGAAAAATCTCAGCGAAGTTGTGTTAAATGTTCCTGCAATGACTACACTATGTATGGGCAAACTACATTCACTTTCCTTTTCGGAATTCCACCTGGAATCTCCAAACCTGAAGGACGAATGGAAACGTAGACCTATGATGATGACACGAATTTCCCCTTCTGCCTTCAGAAAACAAATGAGGGATGGAGCCGAGCTAATTGAAAGAAATTTAGGGGAAATTATATTCCACAGCATTTCATGTCACTGAATCGATCACTGACCAAGGTAATACGAAAGTTGAGTTATTAGATCACTAAAATCAATCTTATTAGTTTTACCATATCTCTTTAAATTTAGGATGTCCCGGTATTATTTTGAGACATCTCAGTATTATTCGATCATTCACGTTTTAACAGGACAGGTTGACTGTGACCCACAATATCCGAGAGACAGAGCGCTCACCTGTCTCTCGTCTTAATATCCCAGTATTGAAAAAATCACACGTTTGAGTAAAACTGTTGATTAGTGTTAATGTGTTCGGACATGTTGCTCTTAGTTGTATAAACTTTCTTATTCTGGGAATGCAGAAAATGGTAGACTGATATTCCCATTAAACGTAACGCTTTTTGAAAGCGGAAGTGTTTAGGCTCGTTAATTTTTCACGATATATGGCGCATTACTATTACTACTACTACTACTACTACTATTACTACTACTATTAAGGAGTGCCTCGCTTGATGCACTAATAAAATACCTAACTAACATAGAATTTGAGTGGTTCACTTTCTATTCTCATGAAAGGTGTTCATAAACGGAATGATGATTTTGTAGCCGGACGATGTTTCTTGTCGAACACTCATCGCAGTTCGGGTCTGATACAAAAAGCTCGGTAGTTGTCTCCAACCTTTAACGACCACAGGAATTACTTGACGAGGACAGCAGAATCTTACCACTACACAAAGACCATCAAATGGAAAGACAGCTGTCTACAGTGGTGACGGGACTCAGCGGAACAAAGGATAGTATCATGCCCAAAGGAGAGAAAAAAATACTCGCATGTTTCACGACCGGAACCGCTCGATGGGCTTGGCGGAACTGGTTGATGAGCCGAGATGATTCTTGTCAAGATGGACAAAAGAATTGGGGACTGAATGTGGTTTTTAAGCAGAACGGAAAGTTTTCCGTTTTTGCAATATTGATCAAAACAGCTAAATTTTCGATTCAAAATAACAATTCAGTATGGTCCGGGATTTATCAGGGGCAAAATACATAACCAACTAGCACGGAGGAAAATACTACTAAGCGGATTATCATTATTATATTTCTTATTAGTTTTCCTTTTAATAGAGAAAAATAACGCTAAAGACAGGTATTGGAGAGGCCAAGTCAAACAGTTATCAGAATGATAACTTTTGTGTAAAAGTGACAACCGGACACGATGAATGGGCTACTTAATTTGAATTACCTTGAAGAATAAATGTTTATTCATTTGTTTTTTCAGATAAACCAAGTGAACAATACAGTTGGGAAGATCGCTTCTCGAAACAACAACAACAACAACAACAACAACAACAACAACAACAGCAGCAGCAGCAGCAGCAGCAGCAGCAGCAGCAAAAACAACAACAACAGCTAAAAAATCAACGCAGCCCAACCAAATCATTTGACTGTCCCCATTGTGGTCGCGGTTACAGTTCGACAGTGCAACTTCAGCAACATTTGTTGCAGGCCCACAGCGATGAACTGGCCGCCATGTCTAATTTCGGTCGCTGGCCGCTAACTGCAACAATACCACCATATTTTCCAGGAATCTGGCAGCCTGCAAGAACAATGGGGCAACCCTTGAGAGATGCTGAAATGACTGCTTTTATGAGGCCAGATAGTCAGATGATCTCGACATCATCCCCGATTCAATTCAATTCAACCAACCAAATCGTGCCCTCCTCCCCGTCTACCATGGGCAATGTTTGTTCATTTGACCAGTCCTCGGTCCCTTCACCAATGGTTAATTGGCACTTGGCTGCTGCAGCAGCTGCAGCCACAGCAGCGGCAGCTGCTTTCGGTATGCCATTTCCGATGTCAAACAGCTTGGGCTCGATTATTGCTATGCGTAATTCCAATCAGCCTAATTCCGCGGCGACTAACGACTCACGCAACCCGGCCACGCTCGCGCACTGTTCAGAGCCGAAGAGACCGAAAATTCATTCTTCTGAGACGCGATCAATCGGTGAGCAATCATTAAATTTTAATCGTAACTTGGAAACTTCCAGGTTAGAGAAGAGAGCGGAACTGAACAAGGTTCACTAGAATGTACCGGGACTAGTTTTGTGCTTCCAGCGAATTTATTAGTGTATCTTCGACATAGTGTGACCTGACAAATTTGAACTCTGTTTGTGAAACCAGCGTGTTATGCAACACAGCGTCGCAACGCATTGCACAGTCGCTCAAATATAACGGTTTTCTATTAGGAATCACCATAACGTAAAACTACGTGCGTTTCTAGCCTATGTTTAATTCCTTCAAATTTGTATGCTAATAAATCTTTCAAGGAATTTCCGTACCCAGTAGACGTACCATACAATTTGGTTCAATTCACGTGAGAAATTTTCCCATCTTCGAATGGATTGACGGTCAAAGTCAATCACTTTCCTCAGGCCTGTAAATACCTCCTCAACACGGTTTATCTATCGTGCATCAGGTTGTTTATAACCTTAGAACCTCAACTGCGAATATGACATCCCACTGAGACTCTTAACTACAGTTCCCACGGACAATGAATGATCTGCAGTTACCTTGGCAATGTGCTACCTGTAGGGCGATTCACCTTAGGATTTTCCGTGGTATTGCGCTTCTTTTCCGCCTGTCAATCATGTAAAACTAAGCTCATGGGACTGTCAGATACACCAGGCTATTGGTGAACAAAGTGAAAAATGATGGCGACATTTGGGAACACGAGTGATTGGGAAAACATCGATGTAAGCGTTTGAAGAAGGTTGATGGTGGTGGTGATGCAGTGATGAGATGTGGGGGTAAGCCAAGGTAAATTATCTGCATCCCGTTTCACGAGAAGTGAGAGAAAAGTCATTTGTATTAACCACATGTGAAATTTGATGGTACTATGTACTGCTGAACTGGGAGTGAGAGGGAAGATACCGAAAACCTTTCCCCCATCCCCTATATTCGGACGTCAACCACGAAAGAACCGAGTACGAAAGTCAATCGGCCTGTCTAAAAGATTTGTTCCTTTTGATGCGAATCGTGGCCATCACCAGTTCCAATACAGATTCACACCCCTAATATATATGCACACAAGTACAGCGCATAGCGACACAGCTGGAGGCCCATACCCATGTATATTGCGACATGTTTATTAGTTGATCACTGACTGCATCAGTACTTCGGACTGGTTTGCTTGATAATGTCACATCAGACCTCTGCTATTTTTCAATCCACTTTAGTGGTAAAACTTCAGGTATAATCTCCGAGACCTCGTTACCTATTTGCATACCTACTGTGCCTGAAGGGTAAACAATAACGAATTTTCGGTCAGCGTTGGGAGACAAGTGACTCCTGTAGTTTATTGAAAAAAATCATGAGTGAGAAATATCGAACTAATTAGCGGAACTGGTTTCACAAGTCAGTGCACAAAACACCCCTGAGAAAAAGCCAACACCGTTCCTAACTGTTCTTCCGCCCTCAGAACAGTGTTTAGTGTCAAAGGATTAAAATGTGACAGATATGGACGACTTGGTCTTCGAGACCTTATAGCAATACAATTTTCTGTCGTACATATATATATATATATATATATATACAATGAGCTTTCTTGGAATAAGTCTGTTGATATTGGAAAACAACCGAGAGCCCGAATGGTCTAGGTGGCTGTATTCACATATCACACAATTCGAGTGAACCTCAATGGCGAATGAAATGAGGACATCAAAAACGGAACTGTGCACATGTGAATAGGGACGAGGAAAAAAGTGACAACAGTTTCATATGTGCATCCTCTAACAGAAAAAAATGATTCGGGATCGTTTGGGCCTGCCAACTTCCTCGCTTTCAGACGTTGTTATCTGACCGACCGAGTGACCTACCGCTGAATAAGTTGGCGTAGCTCAGCACGGTACAACGCAGCACAATCAGTGTTTCTGTATGTCAGCTTACACATGAATTTCGTTTGCGACAACTCAAGGGAAGAAACGTTGCGACAAAACGCAACTAACCGATACATTTGCATGCTGTGCAACCAGCGCCTTGGGACCACCAGAGTGGATTGTTAGGTGTGGAGAACAAATCCAAACGTGGATCAATTTATCCATATCCACACTAACGGTTCTATCTATTGGAATTCCCTTAATAGTAGTTCCTATCTATCTATCTATCTATCTATCTATCTAACTAACTAACTGGTTGATATTCGATAAAATTACACCTTCGCTAAGTTAACGTTTTCCGAGGTCAACCACGCATTTAATGTTTCTCGCACATAACCTTGTTCAAACTAGCAAACTTCATGTTGGCAGGATGCATGCCAGCGAGATGATTACAGCATAGCATAACATTTCTCTGAGTTACTTAAAAGAACCAAGAGAAAATTTTGTGAGTCGAAACGTTCCGGCATGAAGTCTGGAGCGCCCTATGTTATAACGCGTTTTCGCGAACATCATCTGAGGCACCATGCATGTTTGACACAATTCCATCCATCTTTCCCTCACCAGTATTGGTGATCAGAACGACACAGCACCGTTAATAAGGCCAATCAATCAGTTGACAATGAGGACATAGGTAGCACATATATGTGTGATCAGAATTAAACGTATGTTTATACCTAATGCTGACATTCAAAGCTGAACTAGCTTTTTTCGAATAGCCGCAAGTTACCGAAAACAACCACACCACCACTTATACGGCTATTTATTTTGGTTGAAAATAGCAGTCAATTCACTGTGTGCATTATTTAATAGAAACTAGTTTTTTTTTACTGAAAACAAGCATATAAACACGGTCATATTTGTGCTCTCTTATTGCTTTAAACTTAAGACACGATTGAAATCCGACATCTTGTCAAACGGTACCAAGTATGCATGTCCCCCCAGAGGGGGGGGGACAGGTACCAGAAAATGATGCCAGTAGAAATGTCACGTTCACATTTTAGTCAGCTTGGATAAACTTAAGCTCACTAGTTGTCTAAAATTGTTGCCTTCAAAAGGACTGTTATCCATAGGTAGCCAAAATACTATCTTTAATTACTTGTTAATTTTCTTCATTTGTCACATATATATATATATATATATATATAGGAATCAACTCTGGGTATAAAATCGAGAACTAAGCAGTGAACCCGGGTAAATCTATCTGCTATTTTGTTACTTCTCAGACCATGCGGTTCACCGGTTCGCAATGCGACTCTAGACATCCACATGTATACGTATTGGTGTTTAGTAAATGTCAAACTAATACCCCAGTACAAAATGAGTATGACTCATTTCATTCCAAGCATGGTATCCACAATCCATGCACCATGAACACCCTCTTTCTTTGCACCTACAATCCCCGTGTCCGGTTACCTAAAGGAAAGTCGCCGCTTGTCTGTCTACCAGTGGCCACGTTCTTCGACCAAAATTAGCATCAATCTGTTCATCTAAGGTGTTATATCCGTAAATGGCGTTTACATCCTTGTTTCCAAACTGTATCCTCTGTCGGTTGGATATACTGATGTGTGCTTCTATCATAAATACACGAAGGTGCGAACAGCTCGATTACTCGCCAATATATATAAATATACGGTGGAATGCCCGCGTGCATAGAAGCATTTGGCTTCGTGTGTGTGTGTGTGTGTGTGTGTGTGTGTGTGTGGGCACGTGCACGTGTGTATAAGAGAAGGGGTAACGATACTTGCCGTGCCTCTTTTGCGTCGACATCCTGAGCGAAAATATGCTACAAACGCCCTGCACATTGCCTTTATCTGTGCTTTCTTGGGGATTGGGTGCGTAAGCCAGTTTCGGCTGTCATTCGGCGTTTTCATAAAAAAACACAACAGCAATAAACGTTAGTCAATATGTGGGCAAATGTGCGCTGGTGCCTTTGTAGCTGCGCCGTCACATCGTGCGTATATGCACAACGATAGACAAATCATCGAATGGACGCCCACAATGGAAACACAATCACTGTAACGAAGATAGAAGAAAAAGGCCCCAGAGAAATATACGAGGATGGATATCTGCAAAGGAACCTACCGATCATCTGAACCTATACATGACTACTATTTATATGTTTGTGCATGTTTGTGTACGAGCAAGCAAACAAGAAATGTGAACAGG